ATAGCACAACGTTCTCCTTTAAATTAAAACAAATTTAACACTATTTCAGGCATACTGTGTCCCAACCCAGTTTAACAGAGATAGCACCGCTCACATAAAAGCTCTAACAGCTCATTGAATGAAACTTATCAGTACTCTCCCAGGACCTCTGCCTCTCTTCTCTCAGACCCTAGCCCCAGTCTTTTTAACTTAGGGTGCTCAGGCAAGAAAGAAAGTTGGGTCTGAAGGCTGAGGCTGAGTTTTTCCTTGGATGAAGGGGCGAACCACATGGAGAGAGATGAGCATAGAGTGTTCCTGAGCCAGTGCCTGCCCCTTCCTTCTTAAAATTTACCACTCTGTGTGTGTGCGTGTGCATGCAAATACCGCGTGCCTGCAAACTGTTCCTTCTGCCTCAAATCCCTTCCTTACCTCCGCCCCACCCAACATCTAGAACTGCGCTACTCAAATTGAGGTCTGCAACTTCAGTATCCCAGGAGCTTGTTAGAAATGAAGAACCTCAGGCCCGCTTAGACCTACTGAATCAGAATCCAGGTGACTGTACGCCCCTTAAAGTTGGAGACGCCCTGCACTAAGACTTAACTTCTTCAAGCAGCCCTCTTTGACAAATGTAGCCCCTGCCTCCTACCAGGCCAGGGCAAATGTCCCTCTTTGGTGCTCCCATAGAACCTTTTGCTTACCTTACTTATTACAGAGTATCTTGATACGTTTATCTATTTGTAAGTCTGTCTTACGTCCTAGACTGGGGGCTCCCCACAAGTCACAGACCATGCCATCCTTGTAACTCCCCACTTTGTACAAAATCTGGCATGTGAATGGAGCTTAAGAAATATCATTTATCACAGCTAATAATAATCTAAGTATGTCTAAAGTTCTTGTGTGGATTTTAAATTTTAATAACTAATTTTAATAATTAATTCAGATACCTGTGAGCTATACACAAAAGTATTACAGATCATGTTACCTATTTGAATCTGGATACTCTGAATATTGTATTTTTTTTTTAACATTTAGAATATTGTAAAATTAATATAAAAATTTATTTTTATAATGGAAACTTTCAAACATACACAAAAATGGGAAAGAATACTAAAAATCACCCATCACCCAGTATCAATATCCACATTTTTTTAAACTATTCTTGTTTCACCTATTTCCCTCACCCCTACCCAGTTACTTTCTATTTTAAAGCAAATTCCAAACATAAATTTTATTTCAACCACAAATACTTTAATATGCATCCGTAATTAAAAAGGACATTAAAAATATATATACATATATAAAAATAAAACCACCATGTGTTGTAAATCCTAAATTCCTATACCTGTGGCTATAATCCCATTTGGGAACAGGACTTTCTTTGTTATGTTAATGAGACCATATCAGTTTAAAGTGTGTTTTAAGCCAATCACCTTTGAGATATAAAAGAGCAAATCAGGCACAGAGAAGGAAAGCACAAACAGAGGGGAAGATGCACGCTAGGTTAAGATTGCCAAGGAACCGAGTAATAGAAGCTGAAAGAGACAAGGGCCTTCCCCAAGAGTGGACAGAGAAAGCCTTCCCCTAGAGCCTATGCCCTGAACTTGGCCTTCTATAGCCTCCTATTCTGTGAGAAAATAAATTTCTGTTTGTTAAAGCCACCCACTTGTGGTATTTCTGTTACAGTAGCACTAACAAACTAAGACACATACCTAATTAACAGTAATATCTTAATATAATCTAATACCCAGTCGATATTCACTCCCCATTTCAAAGACGAATTTTTTATAGTTGGGTTGATACTAAACAAGTGAACTTTTTATAGTAAACAAGTAAACAAAAAACAGTTCCCAGAGATGAGAAGGTAAATTTCTCACGCCCATGGCCTCAGGCCCAAATGAGCTATGTGAAGAAAATTACATTTGCCTTTAAATGCCATTTGTAAGATTCCCCCCACTCACAAATACATTATTTACTTTCAAAAACTGTACAAAACTTTTATAAACATCCTCTAGGCAAAAAAGAGCAAAGTAAAAGCCATGCTGAGGTCCTCACTAACATGTCCCTCAGAAGCAATGAAGCTAAGGGGAATTAGGACGGTAAGGGTGATTGTTTAACAAAAGAGGCATGCAAAGGATGGATATTAAGCCAAACATTTCCCCTTTCAACAGTCAAAGCAACAGGACTTGGAGATCTAGAGGGTGGGACCTAGAGGGATGATAAACTTGATGACATTGGAATTTGCTTTTAAAATTTGTATTTCTCCTGTCTGTAATAAGAACTCAGGGTTTCTGAAACATCCTGGCAAAAGCAGTTTGAAGGGCAAGTCCAATTACCTTGGAGTTGTTCTCCTTTTAACAGTTAGTTCTGATCCATGCTCTGCAGGTCAAGGGCCCAGTTCAAATTTTTCTTTGCCCCTTTTGAATCATACTTCATCTCTGCCTCCCTGCTTGTTTTCACTCTCCACGTAACGAGCTGAGAGGCAGAGATTCCGGTCTCCACACAATAACCCACCATTCAACAGATTCTGCTTTGTCCCTAAACATTCATTTCCCCTGGCTCCTGCTGGGTCTGTTATATTCAGATATGAACTTTCCAGGAATCTGATCATGTCACAGGCCTTTTCCTGTATGACAAGTTCAATGCTAATCATGAATGGCGGGCTTCACACAGAGGGTTAGTATTATTCATGAATATTCTGACTCCACATCCAGAAATAGGGCAGAAGTGGCCTAAAATAGGCAGGCTGTATTTCAGTGGATCCTTCAGGCAATTGCCAAGGCCTCTTGCTACAGACAGCCTAAGAGCTTTTCTCAACTATGTTAATCAGATGTACCAGAAGCACAATGTTCTGCCAGACTGAAGGTCTGAGGTTGGGCCTGATGGGAAGCCCTAGTACCCTTAGGGTAGAATGAAGGATTTTCCAAAGCACCAAAGCCAGACACTGCTCACTTCCCCCAAACCAGGTACTCTCAAGTTCTCGTTCCCAACTTCTGCAAGGCTCCCTCCACAGCCCAGTTCAAGGTCAACTTTAGGAGCGTTGAGAGGGTTATCAAAAGGGCTGTCAGAAATGGAAATAATATTTAATTTCCCTTATTTGGAACAAGGAGCCCTGGTGGCACAGTGGTTAAGCGTTCTGCTGCTAACTGACAGGATGGTGGTTTGAACTCACCAGCTGCTTCTCGGGAGAAAGATGTGGCAGTCTGCTTCCATAAAGATTACAGCCTTGGAAACTCTATGGGGCAGTTCTGTTCTGTCCTCTAGGGTTGCCATGAGTCAGAATCGACTTGACAGCAGTGGGTTTAGTTTTTTGGTTTATTTGAAACAGTGAGGTACATCAGACAAATATTACAAATTGTAGGGGTTTGTACCATTTTGCTAGAATTCTCTCTTCTGTAGCCTAGGGTCAATGACCACAGGAAGCAGCTCCTATTGGCCCAAATTATATTTTATAAATGCAAGTTGAAGAGGATTACCTTTCCAAATAAAAGTGCACAGATTGAAATCCCCTCTTCACCATCCCTGAGAGAATGACATAGGCTAGTACTAAAAGACTATCTTTGTATACAACAAATGGACCGAGGAAAATCTGTTTTCCTCCCCGCCTCCCGTTCCCTTTCTTCTTTACATAACGAAAGCCAAATGAGACGCTTTTTATTTTATAATTTTGACTAAGTAGACTGAACAAAAGCCTACTCCTTTAGTCTTTACAGCTTTCTCAATTTTGTAACTGAATTAAGACACAGTCAAGCTGGAAGGACAGTGAAGCTGAAGCCTAGCTGTCAGGCAGTGGTGACATTTGGAAGTTTAAATTATGAAAGGTAAGCACTGGGCCAGCAGCACTTTCCCCTGGAGGCATCAGAATTCTGGACATGAGAAGGCAGGGGTCCCAGGTCCCACCCGCATCTCCACATCATTCTACAAACTTTCTGACCTAACGAGTGAGAAGGGGGCAGGACAAGAAGTAGGTTTAGAAAATAAGGACAAAAATAAGCCAGGCAGAATAATGGTGAATGAACTGACCTTTTCTTCAGCTCTAGGGACTGAGAAATCCTGCTCCTCTGGCATATTTAAAAAGACATTCCTTATAGTACTAGGTTTAGTTTTGGTTTCTGTACTTTAAACTTTCTGTAAAACCTTTCTACGATAGTTTCTACCTTGTTTTAAAGTATCCTTCTAGGGTTCCCTGCTAGACAATATACTCCCTGAGGGCCAGGGTATCTTCTTGCCTTTGTATCTTGCATATAATAAACACTTAATAAGGAATGAATGAATGAAACAGAAAATAGGCCTTCTAATAAAAGACTGAAGAAACTGGGTTTTTCAGTAGTAGAGAGGTACAAAACCCAAAACCAAACCCGGTGTCATAGAGTTGATTCCAGCTCATAGCGACTCTATAGGACATAGTAGAACCGCCCCATAGGGTTTCCAAGGAGCAGCTGGTGGATTCGAACTGCTGACCTTTTGGTTAGCAGCCGAGCTTCTAACCACTGTGCCACCAGGGCTCCAGGGAGGTATAGGATATGGGTTATTATCATAAAATAAAATAAAACATTAGAACATCTTCATGCTAATGTGGGGAAAAGAACAATAATATTGGCTTTGTATGGTATTTAATCAGGTATTTACTGAATATTATTTTTTCAGCAGGCACATCCAAATCCAAATAATAATAATCAGTGCTATAACTGAGTTTCTCTGTCTATAAATAGGTTCTTCAATAGTTTCAAAAAGTGCAAGGTACTTTTTCTTTTCTAGCCTGCTACTGAGCCGTTGTCCTCCGTATCCATGAAAGAATCAATAAGCAGAAATTAAGGTAAGAATTGTCGTTGGTTTTACCCAGCAAGGGAACCGGGTACTGAGGGAACCAGACATTCCTATTCCTGAAAATCCTCAACAAAAGAAGTGATGGCTTCTCCCTTCACCTGCTTTCTGAAACTCGCCTGCCTGAACTACCTGAGCTGGATGGTGGCCTCCCACTCTGCACTCTTGGTGTTCAGATCAGGTATTATACATGGTCTTACTCTGGCAAGCAGTTATCTCGCAGTACTTCCAGTAGACACCATCCTCATGCTCGGCCACATAGCACCAGGGGCTCACATCTCCATCTGGGTTTCTGTTGGGGAAAAGGACACAATCAGTAACATTTCTGGCATTTTAAGTCAACTGGCTCATTGCTTTCCAGTTTCACAGAAAGGGAACACTTCACCTTCTGTGTTATTTCTCATGACTGGCATCCATCTCAATCCCATCTCTTCTCAAGAAGGAAAAAGATGGCAATACTACAAGAACAAACCTTTCTACTCTGACGTATACTCCAGAGTTTGGGAAGAAAGTGAACAAAGGTTTATAAAACTTCACTGCAGTGTAACTAGGACAACTGACTATCAAATAAACCATGCCAAATAGCACTGTCACCTTGAATGTGAACACTGGGATTCCACCCTCTGAGAGAGCACAGGTGTTCTCACACACCGCTGATGAGAATGTGAACTGACACAAAAGGCCAGGCAGCAATTTGGTAATTAGAATCAAAGGCCCTAAAAATGTGCAAACCCTTTACCCAGCAATTTCCTCTTTAGGAATTTATTCCAAGGAAGTCTTTACTTACAAAGGCGTTCACCATTTTTATAATATAAAAAAGTTGGAAACAACAATATCCAACAATAAAGGATTGACTAAATAAATGTGGTATATCCATACAAAAGAAGCTAGGCATCTAGTAAATGTGTGGTGTAGAGAAACATTTATTACTATGGAACACCCCCTGCAAAAAAAAAAAAAAAAAAAAAAACAGTTGCTATCAAATTTATTCTGACTCATGGTGACCCATGTGTGTCAGAGTAGAATTGTGCTCTACAGGGTTTTCTTTCTTTTTTTTTACAGTTTTCCTCCTTTCTTTTTCTTTTTTTTATTGTGCTTTAGATGAAGGTTTACAGAGAAAACTAGTTTCTCACTAAACAATTAATACACATATTGTTTTGTGACATTGGTTGCTAACCCCACAATGGGTCAACACTCTCCCCTTCTCGACCTTGGGTTCCCCATTTCCCTTTGTCCAGCCTTCCTGTCCCCTCCTGCCTTCTCTTCCTTGCCCCTGGGCTGGCGTGCCCATTTAGCCTTGTATACATGGTTGAGATTCGTGTATTATTGTTTGTTTATGGGCCTGTCTAATCTCTGGCTGAAGGATGAACCTCAGGAGTGACTTCAGTACTGAGTTAAAAGGGTGCCTGGGGGCCATACTCTTGGGGTTTCTCCAGTCTCTGTCAGACCAGTAAGTCT